ATACCAGGGGTGGACAAACTTTTTGACTCGAGGGCCACAATGGGTTCTTAAACTGGACCGGAGGGCCGGAACAAAAGCATGGATGGAGTGTTTGTGTGAACTAATATAAATTCAGAGTAAACATCATTACATAAAAGGGTACCGTCTTTTTTTTTTAGTTTTATTCATTTCAAATGGGCCGGATCCGGCCCGCGGGCCGTAGTTTGCCCACGGCTGTTCTATACTAATAAACGGGAAATACGCTAATTAGACTGGGAGACCTTCTATGAGACCTTCCAGACGTTCTTCTGGACAAAGCCGTGGGGGCGGGGCCAAGGTAGAGGCGGTTAGGGGCCAATAGGGGAGGGCAGTTGTGGGTGAGCAGGCTGGCGGGGGGAGGGGCAGTTGGGGGCAAGCATGCCAGCAGGCAGAGTAGTTAGGGACAATCAGGCAGGCAGGCAGGTGAGTGGTTAGGAGCCAGCAGTCCCAGATTGTGAGAGGGAATATGACTGCCAGTTTAGACTCATCCCTGTGGGATTGGGCCTAAACTGGCAGTCGGACATCCCTTGAGGGGTCCCAAATTGGAGAGGGTGCAGGTCGGGCTGAGGGACTCCCCCCCCCACCACCCAGTGCATGAATTTTGTGCACCAGGCCACTAGTATAGGATAACCTTAGAAAATACCTAATTTTTTATTTAAATATCCATTATAGTTTGGTGTCTGTTACCTCATTTTTATAGCTAGAAAAATAAATTGATCATGCCATTTCTTGTTGAAGCAAAGAAAAACGTTTAGAAAGTAACAAGAAAATATGTTTTTTTCTTAAAGGGTCTTGAAGTTTAGAAACAGGCTGATTTGACTAAGCGTATTTCGTTTGGAGATAATGTCTACAATATATCACTAATTATATACAAATATCACATATTTAGAGGGACTGATTGTTGCAGACTTTTATTATATTTTTGAAATTCAATTTAACATGATCATGTGATCCATACTTTTATCTTATAATAACATGTTCAAGGGTGACTTATAATAACATGATCAGAGCACACTAGTGCAAGTATTTTATTTTTTCCTGTGGTCATCCTTATCAGGATGAATTCTAATATTGCAAATATGTACTATAAATGATACAGTGGGGCCTTGACTTACGAGTGTCTGGACTAACGAGTTTTTTGAGATACCAGCTGTCTCTTGGCCGATTTTTTGCATTGAGTTGATACAGTAATTTGAGTTAACGAGCTCCTTAACAAGCTCGGTCTCGGAACGAATTAACGTCAAGGCCCCACTGTACTGGGTTACAGAACTTTAAAGATGTGTACAGCTAGGTGCTATAATGCCTCCCAAAATACCTGCCTGAATGAAGAGATGTATACTTTAACACACACTTTTAGAAGTGAGTATATTTCATGAGAGGAATTGTCTACTTTATATGTAATTACAAATCACTTCTGTTTCATCAAACTGTAAAGTGATTTTGAATATGAACTAATATTGGGCAAATAGTGAACAATGTTAAATTGTAGCAGTAAATCCAGAAAGAAAGCCAAGCTGTGATTTTTGAGCAAGTAGGCCTTCATGTTTTAAAATGCTGCTTTTTTATGCAATATGGAACAATTCTTATTTCCTCTGAAACTTTTTTCATAAATAATTCTGGTTTGGAATTGTATTTTGAAGAAAGGAAGAAAGTTGTAACATCACATTGGAGTTTTGATTATTATATTGTATAATTACATAATTTCTTATTATATAACTAGGGGCCTGGTGCACGAAATTTGTGCACTTGGTGTGTGTGTGGGGGGAGTGTCCCTCAGCCCAGCCTGCCCCCTCTCACATACTGGGAGCCCTCAGGCGTTGACCCCCATCACCCTGTCTGGGCAGGGGACCCTCATTTCCCCCCATCACTGGTT